ACAAACTCTTAGTGTATGACAGTTTTAATTTTATTTACCTGAAACCAAAGTCCATGTGATACGTTGTACAATCATTTCTGAAAATACAGTACAGCAGTTTGGCAAAAAATGCCAGTGGAGGGACCGCCTGCCGTTAAAAGGGTAAAACATCAGCATCGCTGCACACCTGCCTTCCCAGATTTGGCAAAAAATCTGCTCATCTCAGTGTAAAGCAAAAAGAAAAATCTATTATCTCATAAAAGTATTTCCTTAGGAAAGATGAACTGTGTTTTTGAACTTATACATAATCTATTACATTTGTCTGGTAAAACAGATGGCTGACTGAGCAGACATGCACCATAGAATAATGTACAACTGACTGTACAAGGTACTAAGCTCTTAGTCTAAAATGAAGGCATGAGGATTGTATGGCAATCTAAGGCTCTTCATGCAGGAGGATGGAAGGACCGATGAGGCGGAACTGGCTAGTTTCCATCAGACATTCATTTATGGGCATTCTGTAAAAATGATGCGTGAACTTTCTGAGCCCCTGTCATCACTTCACTGGCATTCAGCTCTTGTAAGATGTGCTGAAAAACACACATGCACAACACAAAACCAAACCAAAGTTTCTGCTAGGAATTTACAGGAGAGATGGGCTTACTTGGGATTTGCTGTAAAGGGAAAAAAGAAAAGAAGAGGAGACAGGAAGAAACAGATCAATGGACACGAGAAATCACAAAACAAGGTAAAAAGCATCTGAGCAGCAGATCATTTCAATGAATTTCAGAGTAATAAAGGCCATGCAATAAAGGAGGGCGGAAGATTCATACAAATGCAGTTCAAAAAAAGAAATACATACAACACCGTGTCCTGTAACGGTGTGGGGGCGTTTAAATGCCATCATCTCTGCCAGTTGCCCAAACATGCTGCAAGCCTACATTCAAAAATAAGCGGCACCAGCAGTAACACTGAGCCCGTTTAAAAATGCACAAGGTTCCCATTTCTGCTCAGTGTGCATCTGGCACTTAGTGACATTATAAGCTCCTGTTTTTGTACCATTTAAAGTATTTACATGATAAAACACAAGGAGCAGTTATTGCTGTCATTTCGACACGAGCAATGACAGACTGACAAGCTGTGTGTGCAACCACCATACAGACGAGAGCGCGGCAGTAGTTAGCATGCACGTCAAAGTGTACTCACTCTGCAGGTAAATAGGGGGAAGGCGTGGGAAGAAACAACAGTTAGCTTTTCAAATTAAAAAACAAAAAAACACTCTCTGGTCTATCGGAGCGCGCATGCAGAAAGGCTACGCTTGAGTAAACGGGTGTGAATGTATGCAGGAAGAAATGAAATGTATAGAGTCTATGTCGTGTTCTATGTACAGATATACAAACGCCTCCGACAGCAGCCAATCAGAGGTCTGAGCGCCTATCAAACCGTCCACGTTGTGCTCAGTTTGCAAGACTAACAGCTTCTTGGTGCCTTTTTACATATTCAAGTACAGTATGTGCACATTTTACATACATAAAGATTACTGTCGTTAACACACAAAATTAGGACTGAAAACTTAGAATGAATCTCAACGATTTAACTTTAAAAAAACAAACAAACAAAAAAAAAAACAACAACAACCCAAAAACATCCCCCCCCACACACAACACAGACAAATGTGTTTTCTTCAAGTAAATAAATTTAACAACAGGCTGTACCAAGAATTTACTCAAAATCAAGCTGGTAACATGTCTTTGTCCCCTCTTCCCTCAAATAACAGAGGAACACAAAAAAATATCTATCTATCTATATCTAGATATAGATCAATATCTAGATCTATATCTAGATATAGATAGATATATCTATATATAGATAGATATATCGATATATCTCGCTCTCTATATATATATGCACATTAAAATACATGTGAAGATTTTGACTCTACTGGTGCTTACCTCAACACTTCAAATGATCACATATGAAATGACAGCTTGGACAAATGGGTCATTATGGTCAAATCAGCAGCACTGAGGTAGCTGTGCTCTGCCTAATGCAGAAAATAATGAATGAGTACGATGCACGGACTTCAACTGTGATTCATGCTTGGGCAAATGTATTCCGCTGAAAGTCTTTGCCCCTAAATTAGTATTGAACTAAACTACGCAGTCCTCAGAAATCTCCATTCCCCAAATTATAAAATATTAATTATTACAGAATAGTAAATAAATTCTCTCTGTACAGCTCAACATGTCGCTCCAACGCAGTGGGCTTCTCTAGCTATTCTCAAAGGGGGTCAAAACAGAGAAAAGCACAACGGTAACATGGAACATAAATCATGTCGGTAAAATATTACTCGAGCACCGGCCACCCAAAAATATGTGCAAGTCTAAATGTACTTAACAGAGGCGTTCTGACAGCGGTTGGAGAAGGTGTAAATGCTGTTGCTGTAATTTGTTCTGAGTTAATGTAACTGTGTTAGATGTGTGCGTTAATGTCCACTTCACACTGGTGCACAAGGAGGGTAGTGTACTGGAGTCAGTCAGGGCCACAAGATGGCAGACACGTTAGTGTCGGTGCTGTAGATCCACAGCACCAGGGGCAGGGAGATGGCCACAAAGGGCCAGGAGATTCCCTCGGCGCATGCAGACAGAGAGCAGCCTTTGCTTGTCGGCTTCTCCAGTTGTTTACCGAATTCCAAGTAGTTCCTGGCCATAAACTTAAGCAGCTCGTCCAGGAGAATGACGGGCATCGAGATCTTCAGCACCATCAACCACTGGGTCATATCCAGAGGGGTGATCTGGAAGATGACCTGGGAGGGAATACGCAAATAACTTACAGCTGCTTTTTAAAGAGAGCGAGATAAAGATTTATGAGGATTATCACAGCATGGGTAACACATTAAACTCTACCAGTGTTTTCTACATGACCGTAAGAAGTGTGTGGTGACGTTTATTCAGCTTTTATAAAAATACACTGCTTTGTCATGAGCTCAGAGTCGATCGATCAACACGGCTCTTATGTCAGTACACTCAATATGTAGCTGGACACAGGAGATGGTCAGCCTCAAAGATGGGAAACAGCAGTGAAGAGATCACCTGGGTGTTTATTCCCTACCAGATAAAATGTCTAACATATACAGAGTTATGTTTTTTTATGTTTAAACTCAAATACTGTTTCTTTATTTCAAGGTGGTCCCAATAATTTCTATGAAGTACCTGAAAGTAGAGGGCAGTCAGAGAGTACTGTACTGTCCTCGAATACATCAGTACTGGTGTAGTATTGATATTTCTTTCCAAAAAACACAAATTTACATGTCAGATGAAAATGGCTCTATCTGGCATCTGCTGTTTTAAATAATCCTTAAACTTCCAAAGCCCATCCTGACAACACCCAGTAATCACAGGTGGGCCATCCACACCCCATCCCTCGCTTGTAAGTGGGTCTAACTATGGAAAGTATACTAATGGATATTCATCCTCTGCAGGAGTTTACACTGTTATTTACTAATTATTTATTTTTAAATGTTGGCACATTGTTTAACACTTTGCTTTTAAAGTCTGTAAAGTACCAGCAGACTGCTCTCTTTCCCTCCAAACCAGCAGTCGTATCCCTTTCTTGCACTCGCATTGCCTCAGCTCTGAGAGCTTCATCTTTGGCCATTCTGAAGCTGAAGCCAAAGGCTCTAATCAGTTTGGCCTGGATACAAATGGTACTTCACCACACTGATGTCCACTTCAGAGGATTATGGAGGGAAAGCCCTCCATGTCCAAAGATCCCCCTGTGGCAGCGGTGCCTTGTGATTCTGTGTTGCTCATCATTTTTCACTTTAAATGTTACAGAGAAACTGGCCTCACATATCCACGCCTGCTCCATGCCACATTTTTAATGTTCAAAGCTGGTAACGTTAGCCTGAACTGGGAGTGAATTTCCACTTTAACCTCCTAAGACCTAAACTCTTTCATGGCATGCATTTTTAATTTTTCTTTGCTATTTGGGCTGATCGGGACCTGATGAATGTAAAAATAAAGAATTATCTTTTTAGCCAATGTAGTTTCTGAGAAGAGGACATCAGGCCCTCGTAGAGCAAAAGTTAGTGTTGTGGTCTAGACAACCCAAAATGTGATGTCCATATGAGGACATCAGGTCTTAGGAGGTCAAATAAAGTTATTTGGATCTGTTTCCCCCCCTCATGCTCCACCTTTCAAGGTCATTTTCCCCCCAACAAACAATAATAAATGGCCACTAGAGGGCGTCAAAATCCACATAAAAACCAAAACTGCAGCAGACAGATCACTTTGACTTGTGCCAATGTCATCAAGTCATGAACACACTGTTCTTATTTTTTAAACTTACAGGCAGAGGTTCCACATAGAGGATGAGGAAGTGGAGAGACATGGAGAGACAGATGGCCCCTAGCAGCCAAATGTTCTCCCAGGGAGGCATCCGCAGCAGGGACTGGTTCTCTGACAGGCTGGAAAGGAGGGAGCGCACAGATGGTGGATCTGGTTATACAATCTGTCTATCATCGTGTCATTGCAAATGGTTCTTTCATGAGAACTCCTCCACTCTTTAAAAATGCCCTTACCTGTTCAGAGCATTGCACATCTCAATGGTGACAAGCACAGAGAGGGCCATGGTCATCGGGTAGGGTGACTCAAACACGTGGCAGTCCAAGCCATCAAACTCTGGGTTGTCTGGGGCACACTGGAGGAAGTGGCTCTGTGTGGAGGAAGAGGGGAGAGTGAGGGGGAGACAAAGAGCGGAGGAAAGCTGAAGGATGTTCTCTCAGACAGACCTACTTACCAGCTGGTACAGAGTGACCTGCGGTCCATCATCAGAGATTGTAAACCACCACGCAGCAGCTCCCACAGTGGCAGCACCTACGTAGCCTGGAAGCAAAGACAGCAAAATCATCATATTACTCACTGGATGTACTGCGGGAAAAAAACAAAACAACAAGACAGCGCCAATCCAGCTCAATTTTAGTCAACCTCCAATAGCCAGATATCTGAAGAATAGCCAGCCAGAAATCAGGGGCTCCTTAGCATTGCGAGGAGGCTTCTCCATAATGTCCAGATCTGGGGGGTTGAAGCCAAGGGCGGTGGCAGGGAGGCCGTCTGTCACCAGGTTGACCCAGAGCAGCTGGACAGGAATCAGGGCCTCAGGGAACCCCAGAGCCGCAGTGAGAAAGATGCTGTCAGGAGAAACCATTCCAGTCAGAAAGTGCTAATGATAAACTGGAGCAAATATGACTTTAATATTATCAACAGCGTTGCTGTGTGAACGTAAAGCTGTAAAACAACAGTTGTTTTTCTCAGCTTCATAAAAAACAGAAGACTGAGCTCTAATCTCCTCTGAAGAAGACTCACCAGACGACCTCACCCACGTTGGAAGAGATAAGGTATCTGATGAACTGCTTCATGTTATTGTAAATAGCTCTGCCTTCTTCAACGGCGGCCACTATGGAAGAGAAGTTGTCATCAGCGAGGACCATCTCAGAGGCTGACTTGGCCACGGCAGTGCCAGAGCCCATAGCGATGCCGATCTCTGCCTTCTTCAGCGCAGGGGCATCGTTCACCCCGTCACCGGTCTGTACACAAACATGTTCTTTATAGTAAGTGTTGCCTTTTTCTTCAGTAACACCAGCAAATCAACACGACCCTTACAAAGCCAAGAGAATGAACCATTCACGCAGAAATGGGCAGTTTTGATCAGTACGACAAACTTCATACCATAGCAGTGATTTCATCGAATCCTTGCAGGAACTCAACGATCTTGGATTTATGTGAAGGCTCCACGCGCGCAAAGCAGCGCGCACGGGTCACAGCCTCCCTCTGGGCATCGAGTGTGAGCTCATCAAACTCCCGTCCAGTGAAAGCCATGTGCTCAGTATTGTCCTCCTCGGTCAGGATGCCGATGCGGCGGCAGATAGCCACAGCTGTGCCCTTGTTGTCCCCGGTGATCATGATGACGCGGATGCCAGCCTGCCGGCACAGTTTGATAGAAGCAGCTACCTCCTGTCTGGGAGGGTCCAGCATGCCGACACAGCCGACAAACGTCAGGTCAGACTGGACACAGAGACAAAGATTCAAATGAAAGCCTGCTCCTGAAAAGAATGTGCTACAAGTAGATTACGCAAATGTATATCCACCTCATACTCGATGAATTTGGCAGTGTCAGACAATATCATGTCCTCCATTTTTGGTGGGCTGTCTCGTGTGGCCAGAGCCAAGCACCTCAGGGTGTCGCGACCTGTCCCGTACTCACGGATAACAGACATGATCTTTTCCTTGATGCCTTGGCTGAGGGGAACTTTGCTGTTGCCAACTCTGACATGAGTGCATCTCTCGATGACTCCCTCTGGGGCTCCCTGTGAGGAAGAAGAGAGGCATGAAACATTAACAACACAGCAGAAGACTGCAGCGAATGCAGATCGAACATCTGCACGTATTACACTGGGTATACCTTCACAAACATTTTGCCCATGGTAGAGCGGGACTTGTTTGGGCTGCAGTAGACAGACATGGACTTCCGGTCTCTTGAGAACTCCAGGGTGAACTCCTTCTTCATCAGCTGTTTGATCACCTGATCAGACAAAGAGACAGAGAGGGAGAAAAAGCTGCTGAGCACGAACGGTGGGAATGTGCAGCGCATGCAAGTGAGGGAGCTGATGTCACTCACTGAGTTGCAAGCATTGGCTCTGTCAATCTTTGACAGGTTGTGAACTTCAGTGTCGAAGACATTCATCTTCTCCACCAGACAGGTCAGCGCGGTCTCCGTGGCCTCGCCGACCTTCTCGTACACCCCCTTCACCTGAAACATCCAAACTTTCACTCATTTCTTTTCTATAACATCTTAAATTTGCCCAAAGACTGTGCATCAAAGAAGGATTTAGCCATTGTTAAGGCTACCAGTAGTTGTTTCGATGATGAGTGAAGGGGAGCTGTGACATTGTGCTACATTCCTGCTCATTAATCTTTGTAGACGAATAAAGCGTTTATTCACCTGGCAAAATATAGTGTTTTCCGTCATTCACGATACCTGCATGATGGATCTCAAGCCTTAATTACTCACTGTGTTTAGCTTACACATATCTTTGGCCAAATGGAGTGCGACTGCTTTGGTTATTTCAGTGCCTTTGTGAGCTCGATGGATACACTGTACAGACCCGTTTATGAGCTGAAGTTGGACGATTCATGCTAGCAACCATTGCTTTGTTTTTCTTTGCCTCATTAATTCATCATGCTGGAGTTTGGAGTGTGTTTTTGCATTTCTTCCAAACATCATTTGCCCATAATCTGAAGTATTGCAAATGATCATGACTGTTCTGAATGTCTGTTATTTGTAGTATATTACTAATATCAACGGAAAAGTTGTGATTGGCTCATGCGGGTATGTCATCAAGCAATGATTTGTGCAGCACTAGACTTTGGTTTGCGTTCTGTTGGTGTAGCACACATGACCAGTATCACTCGGTTGTGCTCATTTAGTTGTGGGATGGGAAAAATCACAGCTGAGATTAAAATTTGATGAATTTTTCAACCCTGGAAGCTACTTCTATCTTTCATATACAGTCTATAAGCGTACATAAAAAGATTATTTCACTTAAATCCAAATGTACAGAAGGGTAGCAGCAAAACAGGCAGTCATATGTAATCGTTTTCCCCCAGAACTGAAAACTGCACTAAAACACATAAAATAAGCAGCAGGAAAGGTGCAGACCTCGTTGAAGTCCAGCGAGGAATCATTGCACAGGGCACAGATTGTGGCCAATTCAACCAAAGCATCATACTGGGAGGATTTCACTGGTTTACCATCCTGGTACCTGAGGACAAGTACAGAATATCATGTTTTTGTATTTATGTATTCATGTATTTAAGGATCTGCCAGTTATGGAGAAGCTATAAAAGTACTCACACTTCACCCTCGGGGGCGTAGGTAGAACCTGTGATGGTGAACTCTGACAGAGAGCAGCTGTCCCCTTCAGCTTTGTTGATAATGAACATCTGGAAATGAGAAGAGTCCATGGGACATTAGAAGACATCACACAGATCATGTCAGTGTTTGACTGAAATACCAGAGTCTTTATTGTCAAACCACAAAACCTCCAAGTGAACTCGAATAGATTAAAGGAAAAAAACAAGATTACATTATAAGGCTCCTTGCAGCTGATGCTATTGTTTGTCTGTTATCCTAGAAGACTTTGGCAAGTATTCAGGTTGTGAATGAAATCTAACAGAGACTCAAAATCCTTTCATTAAATGAATCTTCTGAGCAAAAAACAAGAGGAAAAAAAAAGATTGGAAGGTAATAACAGTCAAATATCTAGGAGCTGTGATAGTAAAATAATTTAAGATAATTAAAATAAATTATACCCAGATTCAAGATTCAGGGAGATTGAAGCGCAACCACTGCCTTCTATCTGGACTGGCACAAAAATTGAGGTGATGAAAATAAATGCATTGCAGAGATTTCTGTACCCTCTTCAATGCATTCCTCCACATCTGATCTACAAATGCAGATTAAGACGTGAGGCATGGTTATTTTGATTTATTTGTGCTGAGGGGACCAAAGCTGAAGACCTCTTGAGTTAAGGAGACGCTGTAGCTAAAGTGAGATTCTTAATGCGGATGATTCCCTTTGTGCCACACGAGATGAAAGAAAATCTAGAGATATTTTTACATATACAAGAAATATTCAGAGGTTAAGAAAGCAATAATCAAATTAGTATATTATAAGGCTGTTCGATATAACGATATATGTCGGATGACGATATAAAAACATCTACCGTTTCATTTTACGCTATAGTTTGTTTCGTGGTGTCGCAAAATAAACTGTTTACGGCAATATTTTTTCATCGTTCTGATGGTCACTGTAGTGGCTATATTAATTTCTTAAAGTTCTCTCTTTCTCTTATATGTAATATAACCACACTACTGACGGACAAGCGCCTGTTTTTATGCGTTGTCGTTAGCAACAGCGACGGTAACACTTTCGCGTGTCCGCTTGTTTATGTTCCACATAAACCTTTCACAATAAAGCTCAAGATCCTGTTGAGACTTTTCAAAATAAACTGAATCACGTGAAAGAGCAGATTATTTACGGATGAGAAGTAAAAAAGAGCCGCCAGGTGCTAAAAAATAAACCTTAGACTCAAACGTTAGAACAGGCAACCCGCAGCACGCCAAAGAAAACGGCGGCAACTTAGGTCTAAAAATGTATCGTTTCATGCATCTGTTAAAACACTCAACTCCAGCTACATGACGCACAGCTGGAAACACTTCACGCAAGTCGAGCTGCCCGAGATTCACAGAAAATTTAAATTTTTTTGTGATTTATATCGTTATCAGGACGATAGAATTCTTATATCGGGATATGAGATTTTGGTCATATCGCACAGCCCTAGTATATTCTAGAAAAATATAACATATATAATTTACACCAACAGAAAAAAAAATAGTTTTTGTGACCTTTTGAATGAGGAAGCAAACTTCTTCATATTCTTCAAAGTTAGCCTATGAAAAACTAAAAGGCTAAACCAGAAACAACTGGGGAAGACAACTTTAAAAAAACAAAACAAAACAATGAAAGCACTCAGAACCTGAAAAATCACAGCGGAGAACATGAACACTCATCCACAGACTGAAAGCAATGGGGGGATGTGGTCGGAAAAACTTGATTTGTTTCTTTATTACACCTCATATTAAAAGTACACAATAACTGTTGCAGCAGAAAAAAATGACAGTAAATTGGCTGCAATGTTAGAGTGTGTCTCTGTGAGGGGCAGGCTGGGTGGCCTGCTGCCTAATGTGAGAAAAGGCTGTTTAGTTTCTCTCCATAAGTAAACAGAAGAAGCTGCCAGGGAGCCTGACTAAAGAGAGAAGCTGTGCCCAAAAGGAAGACGCCGCAGTGCCAGGCCTACTCCCGCAGGAAGCTTTGATCATTTCGCTCACTCACAAACAAAGATGTACAAAGCCACACAGTATACACACAAACAGGGCTAGTCAGAGGCTGCTTATATCAGAAAATGGATGAAGACAATCAGCAAGCCCTCCTGCAACGACTAGCCAGACATAAAATCCTGGCACTGCCCTGCTGCAGTATATTTAGAGCAAACAGGCAATCCATTAATTATTTCAGTAACCAGTTGAACACTTTCAGGAATGATCGTGGCCTGTCAGAAAAGGATTTAATAAAGAGGACGTACAATCACAAACTACATTTAGGCTGCATGAATGTAGATGGTGTTTTCGCTATGTTGTTATTATTTTATTGTACAATGTTGGGTGCAAATGTACATCTGTAATAAACGATTCAAGTGAATGAGACGTTGCTTTTTATTAGTAACCATGAGTGTAAAGTCAGTGAGCACGCCTCTTTAAAAGCTTTTGTTTGCATGTCCCGACTCTGTGTGAATTACGATAAGTCACTACAGTAACTGCAGAATCACAAGGCTATTTAATCACGGCCAACTCCATGTGCAGGGACTGAAACAACTGACAGTAACTGTAAATTAATGCCACCCTTATTCAGGCTGTGCCAAAGTTCTGAGACAGCAGTGAACAGCCAACTAAAGGGGATTAAACTTTAATAAATGCTGAAATGTCCTTTTTATGTGGGGCCAAGTAGCACAGAGGTGCCACTCACAGAGAGAGAGAGAGAGGAAGAGAAGAAAAAGAAACTACAAGCTCACTGCTTTGCAGCTTGGTGACGCAAGGTCAGTTATGCAACAGCAGTAGTGTAAGTCATCTAACTGCTCGATGCAGATTAGAGCAGTGAAAGCGAGCTGCCTTCTCGCTCAATAACCAGAAACTGCAATTTCTCTGCTTACAGAGAGCATTAGCATTTTATAGATAAATGGAAGAAACTGCTATCACCTTATCCAAACATAAAGTAGGGACAACAAATACGACAAAGGACTGACGACCAACCTGCTCAGTAATGAAAAACACTGTTTCTGGGTGTGTGTGAGGGGGAGAGATAAACTCACTCTGCAAACAGACATCTGGTTGGTTGTCAAGGTTCCTGTTTTGTCAGAGCAGATGACAGAGGTGCAGCCCAGAGTCTCCACAGAGGGCAGGCTGCGGACGATGGCGTTCTTTTTGGCCATGCGGCGAGTGCCCAGGGCCAGGCAGGTGGTGATGACAGCGGGAAGACCTTCAGGGATGGCAGCCACAGCCAGCGCCACAGCGATCTTGAAATAGTAGACAGCTCCACGGATCCAGGAGCCTCCGTGGACGGGGTCATTGAAGTGTCCGATGTTGATGATCCACACGGCGATGCAGATAATGGAAATGACCTTGGATAGCTGTTCGCCGAATTCATCCAGCTTCTGCTGCAAGGGTGTCTTCTCCTGCTCCGTGGCTGCCATCTCGTCACGGATCTTACCAATTTCTGTGTTAACGCCAGAGGCAACAACCACACCCACAGCCTTCCCTGCTGCAATGTTGGTACCCTGAAAGAACACGTCACATACGTGTTGGCTCAAGTGCAACTGATATCATCGCGCACATCCTCAAATAACAGAAACTTGTTTTTCCAGGAAGTGTACAGAAGCTAAACACATAAGAAGTAATAGGAATCAGCAGGATGTGTGTGATAACACATGCAGACTCGGGCTTACAGAGAAGAGCATGTTCTTCTTGTCTTGATTGACGGCGCGAGGGTCAGGCACAGGGTCGGTGTGTTTGATGACAGAGACAGATTCACCTACGAGGACAGAGGAGGGTTAAACCGGTTTGCATCCTTCTGTAGATGATTTAAGGAAGAACGCTCAGCCAGTCGTCTCCACAGGCAAATCTGCAGTGCTGGTTATTCATCTTTCAGTGATGATTCACATGAATGTCTCAGAGGAAAAAGGTGTTAAGTGGGAAGAGCGTCACAGCAGACCTCTGGGCTCATTCTGTTCATCAGTTACTCAAAGCGACCAAGTTGAATTTTTAGCAGGGACCATTTATTCAGACAAGCTGACTGACCTCAGTTTAACTTACTTTAAAGGCTTTGTGGTGATACTTGTGTTTTAGCTTAGAATAACTGCCCTATGAGATTGTTAATTCATTTTTTTAAGAGAATAAAATAACATTTGTCATTAGGTAAGCTTTAGTCTATCCATTACTTAATAAGGATTAGCATTCAAAAAATTAAAAAATGTCAACTTTGATGTCTGCCATCAGCAAAAATATCTTACCAGTCAGGATGGACTGGTCTACCCTGAGGGTCGTGGATTTGATTGAACAGATGCGGATGTCAGCGGGCACCTTGTCTCCAACTACAAAAAGCAGATCCATAATTAGAGAGAGAGGAAAAACCCAATACAAATAAATATGAGGAGAACAAATACAAATATCAAACCAAAGATAATGCTACTGTTACAAATCATGTAAAGTTGATTAATTATATTGAAAGATTTAGAGAAAACACATTGCAATCTATGCATATAAGGAACAAAACTGACAGCAGTAGTCATCTTTGGGCAATTATGAGGAGCTACATTGGAAACAGACACTTCTCTCTAGAAGCAATAACTTCATGGCCTCAGGAAGAAACTGTTAGTGAACCAGGTTTGTTGCTGCATCCACAAATCCCAGTTAAAACTCATTACATGTAATGTAAACCAGATTCAGAAATGCTGCCACCTTGTCTGGGCCTGAGCTAATTTAAGATGGACTGGAGCAACTTTCAAAACTTTCCTCTGATCTGATTAAACCAAATATTAAATGATTTCCACAAACTATGGACATTAAATGCAAGAAGAGTGGAGCATACAAGTTAAAGTCAACATCTGTGACAGGGATGGGTGAATTAGTGCGCAAAGCCTGGATGATTTGTGCATCAGTGAAGACGCCACTGAAGCTGCAATTAAGAAAAGGTCTTTTTCAGTGAAGTTCTTGCCTATTTTAGAAAGATAATGTAAAACCTAGTATTGCACATCTATCATCAGCATGGCTCAGCAGTAAATGGTTTATTAAAAAGAATCATCCGATTTCAAAAGGCTACATCTTCTTAAGTAACGGACATAGAAGCTTGTGGTAAATTTTAACAAATATGGCTAAATATAAACTTTCACCTACAAAACACTGCAAAACATCTATGCAAATCTCAAACTTGTCCCATACTTTAGCGAGCATGTCTGGAGTAACTGCAGCTCAACCTCCTCTAACAGTACATGTTTTGATCGCTGCCAGTTAATATGTCGTTTCCCTGTTGAGCATCGATGTGCAGGGGCTTGTGTCTTCTTCAGGGCGTGGTATAAAATAGCTGACAAAGGCAGACATAAATTCTTAGGCAGTGAATCAGTCACTTCGCTAAAGCCTACCTCCAAAAGAGTTCCAGGATACATTCAAAGCTAAACGATTTAGCAGAAGAGAAAGATTTCAATCACACATCCAATCAAAAAACAAAAGCTAACCACAAAGGAGAAAGGGCAATCTTAACTCTCCACCCATGCATTCCTTGTACAGTACCATTTGTGGGTGGGTGTACTGGCCAAATGAAGATTTAACAGATGAGAAGGTGTTTATTTTCTACAGGCAGTAACTCTGCTTTAGAGTAAACTAAATTTATGAACCACAGCTCACTATAGCGTGGTTGTTATGCCTCACAGCAGCAAAGGAGTGCTGCCATTGGTGTGGGAAAGAGAAGGAGAACCAAAGACAGAAGGAAATGAAGGACTTGTGAGCCATAAAAGGCTAGTCTCAAAGGAAATGGCCAATTTGGGTACATCAGAACTGCAGTGACCCAATTCAGCTTCCTAATCTTACATAAAGGCAATGGAAACTGGGGAAATGGCTCAGGCTATGGCACAGTTCCGTGGGTGTAGTCTACTTATACAGGCCTACTTAGTTAAAAATGTAAATTGTGTCACATTGTTACAAAAGACTCCTTGAATACAATATAGCTAGAATCCAGGAAACGGTACTAGGCTGCCAAATATCTAAGAATGTAACAAAACATCTAAACAAGGCTGAAGTGGAAACTCACCCAAAAACAAATAATGATTTTTTATCAAATGTACCAGTGTCCAGATCCAGACTGAGGGAGACAGGTATTGTATGGCTAAACCAGCCTTGGCCTTGAAGGAGGAGAGGGGGGGAAAATAGCAATGGGACCACTGACGCATGCAGCCAAAAAAGGAAAAAGAATTTCAACCTGTTTCCCAATCTGCTGATCTGGTTTAAATGTGGCCCTACGATGGCAGACATGTTCTCATCACTGCCACAGGAAGAGACAGGCAAGATGCAGAACACAGGAGCAACTCGTCTGCATTACCTTGGAGATTCTTATAGATGTTTGGAATAGAAGCTGCAAACATATTTTATGAGTGCATCTATACAGTCTAATCCAATGCAGACCCTTGCTCTAGTTATGTGTACTCCAGCCCGCCTGCTCTGTGAAGGTTGATTTCTCACTGGGAGGCATGACCCTATGTAAAGTTGGATGATCATCAACTCACCCGAGTGCCAGAAACACTCATCTG